TGCTGATCATGTACAATGTCGGTTTGCACAGGATTTATTGACTCAATTTGCATATGGTAAATTTGTACATGGTAATTGGATCTAAAGAATCAGTATGAAGCCGTACGCTTACAGGATCTGACAAGTGGAGTGGACATTACATCAAGAAGGAGTTGTATCATGAATTGTTGTTGAGTTGCCTAAAAAAATATACAAAAATATACGTAACTGTGCAGTCAGCACGAATGGAACAAAGCAGAGATCTTAAAATCCACCGGCAACTAATATGTATTTGAAAAAAAGATATACTGCATATAGGGTTAGGGTAACAATCAAGTGCTATCTACAAAAATCTTTTATACAAGACCCACACAACATATGTCAGAAAGGCTCCATGGCTGTAACTCCACAGTATTAATGTATTACAGAGTTAAACTATATTTGAAACAAAACTTGACGTCCTTTAACTTGTCCATAACAAAAAATATATTTTTTTCAGCTGCTTTTAGCAATTGTTTATTCTCTTCATCCACAGCAGTTGGGCTGGTGTCAGTGGACAGATGGTAAAATATTGAATTATTTTTCGTCTTCAGCCTCTGTTTCTCTTTCCAACATTTCTTGGAGATAAAAAGTAATGTTTTACAACCAGAGTACAAGACAAAAACTGTCTTGGCAGAGCCTGAGATATTAGAATAGATATTGATTTTATTAATAGCAAAGATCAGGCAGAAATTTTGATGATTCTGTCGTATGAAGGCAGACTATGTTGTTTTATCCTCTTAAAGCTGTGACGTTGTTTTACATGCATCGAGTCAACTTTCTCAGCTGCTACATTGTAATTTGTGTTCTTACTAAAACCTATAGCTTTTGCTAATGTGCCCTTTTTCAATATGAGTTGCTGTATCTTGTGTCTATCTATCCAATTCTAAGAACACATGGGAAAATGGTCGTAGAAACAATGTGCAGCCAAATGAGCTGTTTTTATTGGAGTCACATGAAAGGCCTTGCTGAAGTCACTTTTTGAAGTAATATGATTTACAGTAGACAAGAAATGTTTCAGGTCATCATCCTTGATCTTTGTTTGATGATTCATTATGCAACCAGTCAATGTTTTCAGAAGACAACTGGTGAGAGACGTTTGAATATTGAGTTTTCCTGAGGTCAGGGGGATATGAGGGAGAATACTAATGATGCCGTGTATAGGTCAAGATTGACACAGTGTTTTACATCTGTCTGTGTTGTCTTCAGAGGCTCCTCCCACAGCTTTGATCTCTGCTCTCATTACGGTATTATGCAATATCTTCATAAGTTGGCAGAATTTCAGAAACTATTACGGTTTGGAATAATGGGACTGACTTATAATGTTCTCTCTATCAGCCAAGCTACAGTATATGAATCATATTTGTATGACTATTGTTAACACTATTAACAGACAATGTAATAGCTGTTTATTTTTATTTTGTAAGTTAAAATAACGTATACAAACAAACAGTTAATTTATCATAATTAAAACTAGCTTTACATAATATTTTAGTGTATAGCTCTCCTTTAAACGATTACATCCTGTCTGATTAAATCCAAATCCACTTTATTTATGCAGCTAATTTCATAAACAAAAGAGTGCTGTACAGGATTAAGCTGTAAAACAAAACGATCAAACCAACTTCCAGCTCAAATAACGATTCCAGATTCAACTTGACGGTTAAATTACACTTATCAAGCTGAAAGAAATAGATCAGGACATGTGCAGATGGGAGCCCACCTGAGTTGGGTTCATCTTGGTGCTTTCTGATTTGATATCTCTGAGGCAGCAGAAGAGACACACGCACACGTTTCAATCCTCTATCTATTTCAAACAATGGACAACCCTTTTTTTGAATATCTGAGTAAATATCTTTGCTAAATTTTTAGCTTGGAGTTTTGAAAACATAAAAAGAAATAAACGAATCACCAACATATTTAAAACCCTGTAGCGAGGGAGCTGTTTTGACCTGATTAACCAAAACTTGACATCCCCAACAGTGCAGTCCATCCTAAGTGAAAATGATCAAGGAGAATTTCATAGAAAAATACACTTCCTAACACTTACTGTGTAATCAGAAAACATTTGGGGATCATCACTGTGGTGCCACATGCATGTGAAAACCTGATCTCATGAGACTTTTGAAGCTAAGCAAGGCAGGGCCTGGTCTTTACTGCGATGGGAGATCTCTTGGAACACCAGGTGCTCCACTGGGGCAGCTATGGCTACATTAGTAGTTTATCACCAACGTGTATGAAGTGAATGACTACTGACATTAAGTGTGTTTGACTCGTTCTCGTTACGCTAACAGTTTTTATCCACAGGCTGTTATCAGTGTGAACAGAGCACTTTAATGAAACTGTTTTAGTCGATCGATTTCACAGCGACATTTGTTTACTGTTTTATTTCTGTCTTTTAATGTTGTTTTATGTCTGTATTTGTCTGTGCACACTGGTGACTTTTTGGTAATGTATTCCAATGTGGTGTTTTTACTGCAAATGGAAAATAAACTGAATCTGAATCTGAATCTGACTCTCAAAAAATGCTATATAAAATGAATTATATATAAATATTATCATTAATATTATTTTTATTATTATTTTCAAAATAGCATGTCTTCAAAGTTGAGTGTTACATCAACTTCCCGGAAATATTAATGATGCAACTCACTTCTATAAGTAGCACTAACGTCTCTACAGGCTCACTAAGTTCATAATAAACTAAATGTCAACCTTGTCTTGGAGGTTCATGACAGACACTACCTGCCCACATACTGCTGACAAATGAGCTTTGTCATCTCCCCACTGCACCACGGCCCAGAGTTTAACGTGATTTCATGTTCCAATAACGCCGCCCCATCCTGACATAAATTGTGAAAGGGCATGACGTTAAATCAAGTCTTTAAAACAGAGCAAAGCGATACTGTTCTTTCCCAAGTGTCCTATTTGCAAAGTGTGCTTTTTGTGACTTTCGCGTGTGGGCGGTCATGAGTGAGACGGAGCAAGAAACTGCAGTGGCTCATGCCGGGAGCCAAGCAAGAGGACACGGGGTATCCCAGAAATAAATAGCTGTTAAAATGAAACTGCAGCTGTCCACAGACTTGTAAGCACTCAAATTTGAACTTCAAAATCTCAAAATGAAAGACACAGCCAAAGAAAACATTTAGATCAAGCTATATAATAACAATGAGCCAAAAGCTACCAATACAAGTAAGCTGTTAAAAGTGAGACTGAGCGTGGCTGGCTGTCATCAGTGATAAGAAGAGAAGGGAATCTTTGTCAGAAAACATTGCATAACAGTCCCAACATACATCAGGCTCTGAGGACAAGCCACAGTTTTGGTGAAACAAAAATGAGAAGCAGAAATGGAAGGTCCTGTATATATACAGTATTTACATACAACAATATCCAATGTTTTGGGACAAGACACAGCAGGTGTGTAAGGTGCGTGCCCGCCACTCACATGTGATCAGTGCTTTGTTATGCAAAGCTTTTCAACTATAAAAATTATATTCAACACGATACAGACAATAGCACGATGTGTCACTTTATAGCTGTGTAACTTTTGAAGGTCTTAAAAAGTAGCAATTTTATTATTATTTTAAGTTTCTTCAAACCTATAGTAAAGCAGAGGAGTCCGGTTGAATTGTATGTTTATCTTGCACATTTGTGGCACATATATGATTGTGAACAGGTAACTTGTCCCTTTACGACAGTTGTGGCTTATTAATCATTGGGCCATATGTTTCCTGCAATGAACCTGACTGTGTCCACAGGCAAACAACGCACCTATGGGATCTTCTCTCACTTTCTTTCTTCAAAGTATCGTACAGAGACTTCTTCATGTCACTGACAATTTGAATCCGCAGCAGAGCAGAAGCTTAAGGGAGGGGCGTCTGCACTGCACTGGGAATGCCTCTGATGGAGTTGTGAAGGGGCGCCCCAAATCCATTAGCTCATGAGCTCACTAGCATGAATGCAGAAGTAGGAAAGATGAAAGCAGAAACTTTGACTCCGGATCTCTGAACAGATACAGAGAAAAAGTGCACACTGTCTTTATGCTCGAGTCAGCAAAGTTGCACAGATGAGACGCCTGTCAAACTGGTCTATGCCCTGACAACTGGAGCTGTGAGACGGCAACAGGCAAACACTGTACACAAACAGAGCTGTGACTGAGCTGGAACAGAGGCAATATGTACAGAGATGGGAGCTTTATTGTGACTTTGTGTCTGGAATGCTATTCCCATTGCTGACATGTGCTATCAATGTGTTTTATGAGTGCCTTTGTGCCACAGGGCACACTGTTGTCATCACTTTACCAAGGTTTTAATTAATCTGAAGAAGAGCCAGGACTATTAGACCACATGTGTGTTTGCACAAAGCTGCATGTGCATTCTCCTGACACTGAAACTTTGTTCTGTCTGTTTGTTGTATGAGGTGAAAGGTGCGGTGAGGGTCTGGTCATCAGACATGCAGCGAGACACACTTGGCCCTGAGGCCGTCCTGCAAGGGACATTTGCTCTTTCCTGACCTATCGCATGAGTAAATGTTAAACCTGGGCCAGCAGAGGGGCTTCTCATACATATTAATGCTGACTGAATGGAAATGTGACAAACACTGCACCCCTGGGTGCTGTCCTATAGCAGAGCACAGTGCCTGGCTCCAAATGGCAGATCATTCAGATGTTTCCCCACAATCAAAGCCAAAATGAAACGTGAAGGGGAAAACTAAACTGAATTCTCTCCATGGAAGTGTGGAAAACAGCAGCCCAGTGGGACAATCTGTTTTTACACTGACTGTCACTAATGATATGCTCATTTAACACTTCCCTGCATCAGACTGGTTCAGCCCCTCTGAGGGCAGGACAGCTCTGGAAAATGCCTTAGGCACAGTCTTAATTGGCTGAAATTAAATGTTTAATTTAAGCTGTTTATTATCTTTAGATGACAGTTTCAACAAGTATTTAGACACTCTGGGATAGGGAGTGAGTGGTGCATTGATCACCCACCTATAGTTGACACCACGGTCCCAACAAAATAGAAAGCTCCTGTAAAATCCCATCTTGGTCTGAGAGCGTCTGCCCGGATCCCTGCGGCGATGGCCGCCTCGTACTCCCGAAGAAATGAGTTGAGTTCCCGCAGACTGATGTTGAACGTCTCGCTGAAGTTGTGGAGCGTCCCGTTCCAGCGGCCGTGAGCCCGCACCTCTGACGGCCGCTCTATGGCAGAGAAGACCGCAGCGCCGCACAAGAGGTACACCACTATGAGGATGGCGAGCAGCACAAAGCGCCCGTTGTCTTCGTTTAAGTGCAGGGAACGGCAGCCTTGCAGTCGCAGGCCAGGCATCATCCAAATTTCAGCACCACTCGCGCGTCGGACAGCGACCAGCTCAACATCGATAACGGCATTCACTCTGCTCCAAGTGTTCCCTCAACTCAGCACTTGTGTTACGCATAAGGTCCTCTCCACTCGCGCCAGCACCCTGTCTTCTGGCACTTCTGAAGTCAAACAACCCACTTGTGGAGGAGCGTGAATCCAGCAGGTCAGAGAGGGAGGGCAGCCGGCGCATAGTTCCGGTGCACGTTCATATTTGAGGCATTGCAGAAGAGGTCCGCGGTTGGGATGATTGAAACATGTGCTTGTATCCTCGCGGTGCCTGATTTGCTGGAAAGCTTCGAGTCGAAGTCGAATTCACCGCAGAGAAATGCGCTCTGGGGTAAAGTCACTTGTCCTCTGCGCACGGAGCCTTCATGTGGACATTTAATAACACACACCGCAACATCCCGCTGGCGATGAGATCACTCTCCCGTGAACGCTCGACACCGCAACATCCCATTACCGTGACACACCGCACACTCTGGAGTTGTAGTAACCGTAGAGGCGGGAGCACCTGCTCATATCACATGTGAGTGCTGCACTTCAGCACTTGGACAGCTCCATGCGCACTGACGCTTACAGCCATGTGTTTACACATTGTGACACAGTCATAAATCAAGAACACAGAAACACATTTAGGTACAACTCACCATTCCAGTCATTATGACATCCAGTCGTTTAACCTGATATAAACTGATTATTTCTTACACTGGTGCAATCATTTTATGCAGTAAACTGTATGCCTAATTTGTCATAGTTAGCTAACAGCTATAGTGTGAAACTTGAGGAAATAATCTTTTAAAAATCCTTAACCAAAAAGGATACATTAACCACTAGAGGGAGTTTGCAAAAAATCAACAGGACAACACTAAATGACCAAAGATCTTCATTTTTGGTGTCCGTCACTTTATCTATTATAGTATCTATATTTTATCTATTGTACAATGTGCAACCCATAGTTTCCACTTGTTTCTGACAACATTTTTTTCTTGACTTGTCAGTTGCCAGAGAGGACGAACACATTAGCTGAAATTACTTGTGGTCCTTCCTCAAGTGGAGGAGTTCAAATTTCTCGGGGTCTTGTTCACGAGTGAGGGAAGGATGGAGCGTGAGATTGACAGGCGGATCGGTGCAGCGTGCGCAGTAATGAGGTCGCTGTATCGGACCGTCGTGGTAAAGAGGGAGCTGAGCCGAAAGGCAAAGCTCTCGATTTACCGGTCAATCTTCGTTCCCTCCCTCACCTATGGTCATGAGCTTTGGGTAATGACCGAAAGAACGAGATCGCAGATACAAGCGGTCGAAATGAGCTTCCTCCGCAGAGTGGCTGGGCGCTCCCTTAGAGATAGGGTGAGGAGCTCAGTCACACGGGAGGAGCTCGGAGTAGAGCCGCTGCTTCTTCACGTCGAGAGGAACCAGTTGAGGTGGCTCGGGCATCTGTTCAGGATGCCTCCCGGACGCCTCCCTGGGGAGGTGTTCCGAGCACGTCCCACCGGGAGGAGGCCCCGGGGAAGACCCAGGACACGCTGGAGGGACTATGTCTCTTAGCTGGCCTGGGAACGCCTTGGGGTCCCCCCGGATGAGCTGGAGGAAGTGTGTGTGGATAGGGAAGTCTGGGCGTCTCTGCTTAGACTGCTCCCCCTGCGACCCGGCAACGGATGAAGCGGAAGAAAATGGATGGATGGATACTTAAAAGAAAATACTTTGTCCTTCTTGGTTTATTGGGCTCACATGTGGAAATGGGGACAAAATCAATGGCAACTTGGAGCTGTACTCAATGTAGTGCTCATGAAAATATTGACCAATGCGGCAAACAATATAAGATCAGAAACAATATGGAAGAGGAGAGGCACAGTCAGTTTTATTTCCCCTGAATCAACCTTTTGGGTTGTTGCTGGAAGGGCGTATGATTAAACATATTTCAGTAGTAGTTGTTGAATATAAAGTCCATACATGTAAATATCCACTTTGTAAATGCAATAAAAACATTCTATGTGTGTAAACCATTTAGGTATTCCTTTTTATCTTTTGGGAACAAGATTACAATGAAGCATTTTGTAAGTTAATCTTTAAATCATGTTTCTTTGTTGTTGTTACTCCCAAGTCGCAAGGCACAAGTGAGTCATTGTCAGCTGCTTTGTGTATCTAACCCAGCAGGTTCATCCTAACCTTGTTCCTGTCAATTAGAAAAAATACACTATATTGATTAGCGTGCCCAAGATGGTGTTCATTCTTTCTGGCTCCAGGCCCCTATTTTGATTCAATGCACATACAGTATATTGTGGTTTTCTATTATTGTTTTTCAGAAATAGAGATTACATGGATATCCCTATTAAAATATTGAAATTCAACCTTATTTTTACCGTTACTGACTGATATACCTGTCTTTTGCTGACAGTGAACTCATAAAAGACTCGGTCAAAGAGTAATTCTGCCCAATCTAACAGCCTGAAAAAGGACAAACTTAGAGATCCATGATGTCTCTGGAGGAGCTGCAGACTTCCACAGCTCACCTTGCAGAATCTGCGCTTGGGGCAAGGATTAGTCATACAAGTGGTAAATAGAAAAGCATTGTTGAAATGAACCTGCCACAAAGAAGAGGAAAACTAAGAAACTGTGGCGAGATGAGAGTTTTTTTTTAAATAAAACCTGGCGGTGGCAGCTTCGTGCTGTGAGGCTGCTCCGTCTCAGCTAGGGCAGGGATGAGTGTCAGAGTTGACTGTAAGGTGAAAGGAGCAAACACAGGCAAATCTTGGAAGAAAAGCTTAGCTCGAGGCTGACTTTAGCAGACTTGAGCCTGGGTCGGACGCATCAGGACAATTTCCCCAAACATTTCCCCTAAGCCTTTTAATGGCCCAGTCAAAGTCCAGATCCATCAAAACCAGAAACTCGCTTTCACAGATGCTCTCTCTAATGTGATGGAGATTGAGCTGTTATGAAAAGAAGAAATGGGAAAAAAATCACTCTCTACAATAGCAAAAGGGTTTTCCACATGATATTAACTCATGGAGGTTGAATACTTTTGAAAGCCCCTTTGAAATCATTGTGTATCATATTTGTTTTCAGTTCATATTTGTCCACCACATTTTAATGGTTGTCTTTCACAAAATGAAAGAGAAGAACATTGAATGGGGTATACACACCTCTTCAAACTATACTGCAATAAAGCCCAAAATCAACCAGGCAGTCTCAGTAAAACAATGTTCCTGATTTTCTTAAATACTGTATATAGATGCCAAGAAATAGGCAAGAAACAGTAAGATTACATATTGTCAGTAAAATAAACTGTGTAATCTTGTATGATAGCTTAGTCGGCACGAGTAGGATTGAGTCACGATGTAGGTAGCAGCAGCCTCACAAGTAACAGTATTTCTCTTACGTAAATCATGTCAACCCCTCCCAGCATGCATCGGTACACCCTGGGGTAGTGTGCAGTCCCAAGTCCAACCTGCTGCAGCATCAAACTTGTTTCCATGCCATAAAAAGATAATGCACGGTTTAACAAATTTGCACTTGGAAAAAGCTCTTATGTTGTGGGTTTTACGGCTCTCGTTTTACTATCCTGCTTGATAGCGCTCAAATGCACTCCAGCTGCAGCCCCTGAACTGCAGTCCCATTAGCAGGGATCCAAAGGACATACGAGAGCTGATCCTTCCCAGTGCACGGACGACACGAGCTCCTGCCGTGAATAAAGATGAGGAGACAGTGGAGGACACATCTGCCTTGAGAGGAGAGAGGAGAGAAGAGAGAGGGATTTCCTTCCATCCTGCTGAGCTGAGAACTGCCTTCCAAATGATTGAGAGCGTACAAATTCATCACTTTGTACTCTTTTTTTCATTCTGCAATTGTTTGTTGGTAAAACATTCAATTACAGCAAATTGCAGCCGTGAATCTAATGTCTAAAGGACTTACAAGTGGCCAAGACTGTGGTATGTCGTTAAACCAAGAGCCCTTGCTCAGAAAGTCATGTTTGATTGTTATCTGAGAGGATTTAAGAATGAGCAGCCATTTGTTCATCAGTCTTTTAACTCTGGCCACATTTCCACAGCTAATTATAGACAACAAAGAAATATACAGTGAAGGACATAAACAAGTATGAGCGTCTGGTAAAACATAAAATGAATACTAATACAACAACATTAATCGTTTAATCCTGTCTTTCAGTTTGTCCTCTCAAATGCAAATTTGATTAAAAAAAATGACCAGGTATAAGGTTTTAATTTAGTAATTGCTATGTGTTTGCATATGATTTGGGTCGATGACTAGGTTCTGCAAAAGTGAGAGTTGAGAAATTAAGTACTGGGATGTACTTGTATTAAACAAAAAGGTAACATTTCATTAAACACATCAAATAACATCAAGAAAAATAAATCCCTAGTAGACCTGAGCTGAGATAAATAAAGTAACAATTCTTTATGATACCATCCAATATATTCTCAAGTGTTCGTCAATAAGAACATTCTGCTCTCATAGAAGCCGAGAATTATTTTATTTTTTTATGGGGTGACTTAGATCTTCCAAAATGATCACAATAGGACACAAAGTTCTCCCGGAAAGAACATTTGTGTATTAAGTACAGCACTTTTTTCCGGTATCTTCTGTTCTCTCCACCTGTGCCTATTCAATTCAACTAACTCTACTCTCTCTATATGTAGTTTGACTTAAGAGCCAAAAGGTGCGTGCAATAGTCTCGGCTGAAGTGAAATGTGTTGATGTAGACACACCTTGACGTGGCCAATTTGCTTTACTCAGTCTGGAGAGGCAGAACAGAAGCCCTGCAAAGCCTCATTTGTTTGGGGGGATTTCTTTAGATTGACTTCACACACACACACATACGCACACACACACGCACACGCACACGCACACACACACACACACACACACATACACACACACACACACACACACGCACAAGAGGCCAGAGATCAGACCAGTTAACTACGCTTGTTTTCTTACCCTGCGAATTTCACTTA